GGGGGGGGGGGATTCGAAAAAGGTTACTAATCTTAAACATAGCATTAAGCCACTAAAGTATGTTTCTCTCAAAAAATATCTCATCTTGTTTGGATAAATGCCATAAATTAATCTGTTCCTCGAGAAACCAATTTCTGTGATCCCCTTCTTTTCTTATACTCATCCACATGTTTGCTCCCTGGAAAATCAATCTTGGTGCTCATCCTCCTCCACCTTAATTAGATCCCAAATCAAATCCACCATCCCTGTTGGACCAAATTAGGGCACGCCCTTGTTGGCCACTTTCGACCATTCAATACACGCACACACACAAAAGGAAGAGGAAGACTACTGCTATATACTATGGAAATCTACCTTTCTATGACAAATTAGAACACTCAAATCTGACCCCATTAACAAGCATGAATGATGAGACGTAGGGTTGTCACATACCATGCAATAAAATTCACGCATGTGACTTGTATTATTAACACTTGCCCCTTCATCCTCTCTTACACTCAATCAAGATTTTATAAACCTCGAGCCTTATAAAAACCTAGCTACCTCTCCCAAGCTTAGCAAACCCCATTACTTTGCTCCAAAATGGAGGGCACACCTTTCTCATCAATGGAAGAACAACCCTCCTCAAATCCAAGAGAACCCCCCACCCGGATTTTGCATTTTCTTTGCAGCCGAAGTCACCCTCTAGGGCAGAACCCTCAGTACAAACCATGAAGAAGTCTTCAATGAAAGAACACCATCAGCTGCCACAAGCTCATCAAAGTTTGGCTTCTTATACAAGAGTAGAACATGTTAGTAACGAGGTGAAAGAGCAAGCTGAAGCATTGATATTAATGCACAAAGAAAGTTCTACAGGACGTGAGACGCTAAAGAGGCATAGAGAAGAAGTGAGTGGTAAGGTTATGATACCAGAAACATGGGGTCAAGAGAATTTGCTTACAGATTGGATTGATTATTCTTCATTTGACAAGTTGTTAGCCCCAGATGGAATCACATCAGCTCGTGAAGCACTTGTTGCTGAGGGACGTAGAGCCTGCACTTCTCATCAACGACTGATAGTATAAATTAGCTGTTAATATTTAAATGATCAATTTCTTTATCTTTTTTTTTTCTTGTTTAATCTTCAAGATTTGTTCATCATCGGGTAGCAAGAGAGCCTCATGTTTCCAGAATTCTTGTCCATATATACATGATGATGGGTAAAATCCTCAGGTAATTCCATTGATTGGTCATAGTAGTCTTTGTAAACAGGAAATTTGTTTTTGTTTTTTTATTCCAATATAATGGGGGATGTGCCAAAATCATGGTTTTTTCATTTTTTTTATTACAGAAAATAATTCAGTCTTATCCATCTCAAATGTATGCAGGAGTGGGATTTAATTCAGAGTAAAAAAGACTAGTATTTAATTAGTATATACCAAAAAAGGAAAAGAAAAAAGAGTATATCAAGCAGTACAGGAATATATATATATATATGATATGATATGATACTGTAAGTTAAAGACAAGAAAAATAAACTAGACCCATGTAGACTGTAGACAAAACATATACATGGGAGTCTTGATGATTGTGACACAGGCGTGTAAAAATAGAAGCAGAAACCTCCCGTTGAAGCCCTGGTTTTCTGTTTAGGCCAACGGTTTGTGGTGGTCGGGGAAGGAACATATTGAGGATAAGATACAGAAAGTGGGCTTACAAAGGTTAGGGTTTGTTCTGTTTGAAGCCCATAGATATTATTAGCCCAGATAAGTTAGGGTTTGTGCGCTTGTGGACACCTTTAAGCGTGTGTTTTAATGTCTATTATATGGTAGCATATGATGCCTTTAAAAAATATTTTTTTAATTAAAATAATAATTTTTTAATTTTAATATGATCACATGAAATTATTTAAAAGTAAAATCTAAGAAATATTTTAAAAGATCGATAATCTAAACTACGTGCTAGTCTGGACCAAGATGAAAATTAAATTAGAGGGGAGATATCCAATAATAAAGTAAAATAATATTCTTGCATTTAATTGTGGTTGTTACTTGAGCCCGTCAAACTTATGTCTATATATGTTCTTCTCATTGAATTTCAATGTAAATTTTCTGGGTAGAATTTTGAACCCAACATTTAACAAGTTTTATAGATGGAATAATAAATCCAAATCAAATAAAAAATATTAATTTTGACCAATTAACACATATATATATTCGAAGCTTCCTCAAAATAATTGAAAGCTTGTTTCCATTAAAATATCTGGCATTTTGTTTCGCACATGTCCACATCTTTGTATCCAGAGAACAATCCCCGCGTGCCCCCTTTTCCACCTCTAGCAATAATATTTTTTTATTTTTAATATTAATATATTAAAACAATAAAAAAATTAAAATTTTGACAAATAATATTTTAACCAAATACATTCTCAATCAACTCAACAAACCCATCCAAAATTTGATTATTATTTCAAAACATAAAATATGAAAAACAATGAAGACAAAAACATGTTTAATTAAAAGAACATAAAAGTAAATATAAAATAAATGTTTTCATGACGGTTTTAAAATAGATTTTTGTATTTTTTTAAACAAAATATACATATTAATATATTTTATTTGTCTTTATTTTTTTTTTCTTATCTCTCGGGAGAGTAATAAACATTATATTGTAAACATATAACTCTAAAAAAAAACTACTGTTCCAACATCTCTCTGTCTCTGTCTCTCTCTCTCTCTCTCTCTCTGTGATAACTAACCACACAAATTTCACTGTTAACATAAAGTGTGAGGCGTAGATGTCATGCACCATACGAAGCAAAAACTCGTGACGTGTAATCTTGCTCCCCCATACGTTGTTCTTTACTCTCTTGCACTCTCTGATTATATGTTATTCTCGCAAAAATTAAACCTATTTTTCTATAACATTGCCCATCTCTCTCTCTCTCTCTCTCTCTCAGCACACCATTATTGAAGAAGGATAGCAAGATGGAAGGAATCCATTTCTCATCCAAGAAAGAAGAAGATCCCACCATTAATATAGTTAATAATCACTCAAATATTATTGCTTCTACTAGATCCACTAGCCAGAATATTCTTGCATTCTCCACTTATCAAGCAAGTACCAGCGCAGTTTCTCCACATCATGATGGAGATTGTGGGGCTGGTCATGAAGCGCTGTTGCATAAAGATAGTGGACGTGAAAGATTGAAGAAGCATAGAGAAGAGGTAGCAGGCAGGGTCATGATACCAGATACATGGGGTCAAGAGGATTCGCTCAAGGATTGGATCGACTGTTCCGCCTTTGATGAGTTGCTAGCCCCCAACGGAATTTCATCAGCTCGCGAATCCCTTGTTGCTGAGGGACGTAAAGGAAGCTCTCCAAGACTGGGCATAGCAAGTAGGTGTTGATGATCACGATCAATCATATTATCTTTAATTAATAAACAGCCTCTTCCTTGATTACCACCAGCTAGCTAGATCATATATATAAGTAGCTATGATCTAGCCAGCACGTGTTGATGATCTTATTAATTATTTCTTGATCTTATAAATGAACTAATTAAGGGACATGATAGATTAAACTTTAAAGCAAGAACATGATTAGTGTGGCTTAATATCTATGGCTAGGCGGAAGTGTGTTTAGCTAGCTGTTCAAGGATATATGTAAATCTATCTCAAGTTTAGCATTTGTATTGGAGTGAGAAAAGGCTTCGCATGCACTTAATTACTTATAGTCTACCAAGTAAATTACTTGCTGTTCTAATAACTAAGATGATTAAAACCATACTTGGTTCGAGGTATTGTTTCATTAGCGCACGCATACACGCGTTAATTAAATTAATATCAAAGTAATTAATACCATTAATTAATTAATTGCTAAAAAAATCAATCATCATTCTCGTTCGTAATTAATTATAAATATTAAACATTCATGGTCGATATATTGATCAGCTAGATTTTCCTCTTAAATTGCACTCAGGCAATGGAGTTGGATATCGAGAACGATCATCGCAATAAGAATAAATCAAATGTTCAATCCTAAATTTCTCCATTTTCCCCTTGCTCTCAGTTGTCAAACCATTGAAAGAATTCAAATCTGCGGCATTACCACACATTTCAGCAGCTGACTCTTCTCGGGCTGGGTTGGCTGAGCATCCATACAGCACAAAACTGGAATATTTAGCGATGAAAGGAGCATATTTATAATCAACCTTGTTTTGGCCTCCACCTGTTGCCCAGTTAGATCCATCCCATATTGTAGCAAATAAAGTCATAGCCTTAGAGGGAAAATCTCCACCCATGGCATCAATCTTTTGAACCACTCTAACAGGAACATCATCCACGTAGTAAACGATCCATGTACTGGTCCAAAGAATACTATACGAATGGAAATCTTGAGTGGGATCAAACCAAAGAGTGTACCTCTCTTCACGTCCCCTACCTGTACTTCCATTGCCATAGAAATTGGTCTGGAGGGTCCAAGGTTTGCCTCCAGTATTTCCCAAGAACTCGAAATCAATCTCATCGTGATTAGTTGTGTACTCATCAGCATTTGATGTGTAGTAAGAGACAACAACTCCAGCGGTGTAATTTCCTGGTAATTTGATGGAAGCACTGAAATATGAATAGAGATACGTGAGTTGTGACGCAAAACCAGAACCTGAACTTTGATCAAGGGAAATTTGAACTGATTTTCGTTCATCGTCAAGAAAAATCACATGATCATTCCCAAATAAACTAATGAATGATTCATTAAACGATGAAGTAGGTAAACCATGTGATGAGAACCCAAGAACACAAGAAGGGATAAAGGCCATGCACAGAATTAAAAACCGTAACCAAGAAATACTAAACAACATTTTTCTTCTTAATTAGCTAGGGGTTGAAGATGAAAAGGAAGGAAAAGAGAGATGGTAAATATCAAAGAGTGGAGCCTTTAAAGACTAATTGAGGAACAGGGCCTTATTGGCCTTCCCTCCAGGAATCTCAGAAAATATTCCAACATTTAATGTTACTACCATATTTATTTCTTTCCCTCCAAGATGAAGATTTCGACAATAATTACATGCTTAATAAAGTAGAATTTTCCAATATTATTGCTGGAAAAAAAATAGAAAAACGTCGCCAAATTTAAATTTTGCATATTTGAGATAATTTCCCTTGATACATATATTGTCGTTTGATTTTGTTGTGCAAGTAATAAAAAAGGATACAGCACACAAAAATATTATAATTCTCATACAGAATTGATCATCCAGGGCTTTATCTACTGCTTAATAATATATAAAATAATATTTTCCTGATGCATATATACATAAATTTTTGTTCTTAAAATTATATCTGTTATATATAGTGGAAATTAATGGTTGGCCAACAGGAAGGAATTTTCTTAATATATAGATTATCCGAGGAGAAATCTTATTTATTGAATGTCTGGGAGTCTGCTCCTGATCTCTTGGACATGCTAATAGATTTAAGATTTAATAACAAGTTCAGGATAACTATATTAATATATAATGATTATGTTTATCATAATTATGCTTCACGCGTGAGAAGGATGTATATAGAGGTATAAAAAAGAGTAATGTTAACCGAATATCTTTCTCGAGATCATATATTTGAATAAGAATCTCGATCGTGCATTGACGTTAATGAGTGGAAATTTTATGAAAAATAAATTTGGAAAGGATATATTTAATATTGAAGTAAGAAATATTTTTATATATATAAGTGCTGCAATGAATGATTTTGCTTTAGATTCTATTAGAAAAGTTGCATGCCCTATATCACGAGTTAAATTTTTTTCTATAAAATTATATCTAAAGTATTGAATTTGTCTGTTTTTCCTGACTCAAAAATTATATTTATAATATTAATAATAATATTAAATTTACATTATTCAAGTTTAAGTGAGTTTGGTTGTAACATCGAACTCAAAACCTTAAATATGGATCTGGTTACAAGGTTTTGTTATAAAAATGTGATAATTAAAAAAAATTTAATATTACAGAATGAAATTAAAAAAAAAAAGATAAACTGAAAAGAAAAAAACAATAAAGCAAAACATTATTTCGATGAATAATGCTTTGCAATAAATGGTATAGTAAAATTCCCTCGTAAGATTATAATAATCTAATGAACAATAAACAAAATAAATCATAAAGTTTAATTCTTAATCAAATTAATATTAAAAGATGAAATTAAATGGAAAAAACTATTTAAGAAAAAGAAAAAAAATATGAATCAACTGTTTTAACCCTTCAAACTAAGTTAACCCATCAAATTTGGGATTTGTGTCATGAAATTGGAAGAAAAAAGATTGATGTCTTTTAGTTATAGTTAATTATAATATTTAAAGAAAAAAACTAATAAAGAAAAAAAATTGAATCAATTAGGTTAGTCCATCAAATCAGGTTAACCCGTCAAATTTAGGATTCGTGTAATGAGAATGTGATAATTAAATAGAAAATAATTAACATTAATAAACTAAATTAAACAAAAAAATAATTAAAAAGAAAAAAACAAAGAAAAAAAACCTACAAGAAGAAAAAAACTAATGAAGAAAAATAAAAAAATACGAATTAACTGGGTTAACCCGTCAAACCAAGTTAATCCATCTAATTTGGGATCCGTGTCATGAAAATTTGAAAACTAAATAGAAAAAAATTTAATATTAACAAACTAAATTTTAAAAAATAATAATAATTAAAAAGAAAAAAATGAAATAGGAAAAAAATACTAAAAAAATATTAATTTAAAATAAAAAACAAAGAAAAAAAGCCTACATAAAAAAAAAAACTAATAAAAAATAGAAAAATATCTAAATTAACTAGATTAACCCTTCAAACTAGGTTAATCAATCACACCTAAAATTCATATCATAAAAATTAAATAACTAAATAGAAAAAAACTTTACGAGTTAACTTAGAATTAGTTAGGTTAACCCGTCAATCTCAAGATCTATATCATGAAAGTTTGATAACCGTCAATCTATCCTGATTTCTAAGGTCACGAGCTACCAAATATATATATGATAAGTTTTTTTTAATGAAACAGAATCTAAAACCCTACAGCAAAAGTGCAGTTCAATGTATCATTATGCTTGTAGTAAAATTAAAAGATGGCATTTGATCATCTAGCTAGACACAAGAGGAAAGACAACTACGATCAATCTGTGAAGTAAAACATTGTGCGGTTGTTGTTTATCCATTATTTCTCCTCATATCCAATATCTGACATAGATTTGTTGATCTGTGGGGACATTTCGCAGCGTCATTCTGGCCAAGGAAGCATATCCTGCTGTTTCACGGAGGCAGTGTCCAAGTGCTTTGCATTTCATGGATTGCGAGTTACGACATAATGCTTCCCAAGTAACTCCAGCAATTCAGAGATTCGATTTAATCTGTGTGATGAAGGATTTGCTGCTGCTGCTGCTTGGAACCACTTCTGATCTGTATGCTCATTGTACTAGGATCGAGGTTCATGCACAGTGCTTCCCTGGACACCAAAACAATGTTGGGAGTGGAGTGTCTATATATATATGTATATGTATATGTATTCAAGTATATATTATGTGTGTGTGTGTGTGTGGTGTATTATGTTCATTTTACACTCTAATTTCCTAAGTTTTTTTCTCAAGGACTTCAAACTAATGAACCCACAAAGAATTCTATGATCCTTTTATGTCCGCTAACTGTTGATCCAAGCAAGTCAACACAACTTTTTCTGCATGATACAATTTGATTTAGGTAATTTCATGGATGTATGTAGCCTTCCATCATTGTGATAAATATATTTATAAAACTCAGTTTAGTCCATGTTTTTGTTCAAAATTCAAGTCATGGGTTGGATGAGTCATTTTAAATTATCTAAATCAATCTAAATTGTTATTATTTTGAGTTCAATTTTCATCGAATTAGTTTCTAATATTTTTTAATATAAAAGCTAATCTAGGCCTAGTTAGATAGATTAACTTATTTATCCTAAAAAAAGCGAGATATTTGAATATTTAATTTTAATCACAATGAATTGAGTTTTTTTTAATTATTATTAGATGAATTTTTAAAATGGGTTAAAAATCAAAGCAGACCAATTAGATATTTTTCAATATAAAAGCTAATCTAGGCCTAGTTAGATAGATTAATTTATTTATCCTAAAAAAAGAGAGATATTTGAATATTTAATTTTAATCACAATAAATTGAGTTTTTTTTAATTATTATTAGATGAATTTTTAAAATGGATTAAAAATCAAAGCAGACCAATTAGATATTTTATAGACAGGTAAAATATTATATATATTGATAATCTTGCAGTGATTACCGGCCCAAAGATACATAATCACCAACTTATATTAATTAAAAAATTTTATTTAATCCATAAATTTAATTTATTTCAATAGATTTTACACACTTGAACTTATGACAGGTCGACTCGTTATAACCATTTGAGGTTTGAAAAATTTTAAAATAAAATTTTTTTTTTTTTCAATTTTATTATTTTTGTATTTAATTTTAAATCTACATCCTTAATTTAATATTCTCTTTTCTTTTCTTGTATTTCTTATACTTGTTTAGGATTCTGAACGTTTTTCTTGGAAATGTTAATTCCAAACTTGTTTAAAGAGTTGTAATTACTTTTAAAAATACAGATAATTACATAAAAAAATTGTTCAGTTAATACAACTACAAACAAGGCTCTTGATTTTAAGATCTTAAAGTCAAGTCTATCTCCCTTGTTCTTTGTCTCCTTTTTTTTTCAAAAATAAATAAATTAGACTCTATCACTCTGTTAGGATGAATATTGTAGAATAAAATGATAGATCTATAACAATCTAACAAATGTTAATTAAAAAAAATTCCTCGGAATATTATAATTGCTTATCATTTCACTATTTTACAAACACAAAAAAACATATCATGAAATTAAGAAAGACACAATATTCTATCGTACTCAAATTCAGTGATCTCAGACATAAGCATTACACCAATGCTAAAAAGGCACTTGATTTATTTATAGATTGTTGAATTTGATTCAATGCCATTCTTTAAAAAAAAAATTGATTCCATGACATATAGAATTTAAATGGAAAGGAAAAAAAAGAGATGAACATGGGCGTTCAAGTAAACTAGAAAAAATAATCAATTAAAAACTTGTTAATTAGGTAGATTAGTGACGGCTAATAAAATACTAATTAGTGGCTGGCTCCAATCCAACTAGGTTATTCCTAGTGTTCATGGACAGTGGTGGTAGCACTTGGGGCAATCAGTCTTTCGCTTTAAAAAGAGCCGCCTCTTCCCTTTCAAAGATCCCAAAAGCCACCAGCAGCATCTCTTCAAGTAATATCAACACCACCTCTTCTCTACAACATCGTACTCTCCGCCTCATCTGAAGAAACCTGGCCACCCCACCAAAGTAAGCTCCTTTTTCTCCCTAGTGTTAGGTTATTTTTCAGTGGTTTGATTCTCTTTGAAGTTTATGTTGTTTTGCTTGGTTCTATTTTTTTTTAATGTGATGTAGTTCTTGATTCTATGGAATCTGTGGGGTATGTAAAATGTCTGTGTCTTTCTGACAGTGGGAACCTCTCTCTCTCTCTCTCTCTCTCTCTCCCCCTCCCTCCCTCCTGTATCTTGTTTTGGTCGACAAGAACAAAACAAGTTTGAGTCTTTAATCAATTTGTGGTTCCTGTTTTTCGTTTTGTTTTCTAAATATTGAGGTTTAATGGAAAGGAAAATTACTGAAAACAACATCTTATTAATAGCCCTTTGATTTGTTTGACGTTTTTTTCAAGCCACTCGCTTGATTCTTAATTCTTACATGTTTCATTAAAGTTCTTTTAT